CTATTGATATCTTATAAGTACTGGTGAAAGGAAAGAAGGAAAGTGAAGTCGCTCAGTGGGTCTGACTCTTTGTGACCCCATGGACTATAGCCCTCTCTGTCCAGGGGATTTCCCAGGCAAGAATACTGTTGTGGGTTGCCATTTCTTCCTCCAGGGTATCTTCCAGAGCGAGTGCTAATTAACCCGCTTTGTATTTAATAGTAACCTCTGGAGGGCAGTCTTCCTCCACTGCAGGGTCTAACTCTCCTGCCCGAAGGTTAAGCACGGACAAGGTTGGATGGACAGAGATGGGTGGGTGAGAGTGGGAATGCCTTCTGGCAGCAGGAACACCCTTTCTTTGGAGAGAAGGGAGGCTGGAGGCCCAGGTAAGCCCTAAATGTGGGGTGAAACTCAGGCCAGAGAGATGAAGGGCTGCTGTGCGTGGTGATGACGGACAGATCAGGCACAGCTTGCCTGGGAGAATATTGGCTCTGCATCCTACGAGTCCCATGACCTTGAGCAAAGCTCCTACCTCATTTTCTCACATGAGACTTGGAGTAATAGTCTCCTCTTCAAAGAGCTGTTGTGAATAATAATGAGCTAATACATGGAAAGTTCTTTGAAGTTATCATTATTGTTGTTATTTAAGCTCTATGCAGGAAGGTAAAGTTTCTCGTATTATGTACTAGCCAGGACGTACTGGGGTGTATGCATGGGCCTGGCAGGCATGTGGTATGTGATGTGAGTGGCGTATGTGCCCGTGTGCTATGCATGGGCATACATCTATATTCTTTTCTTTCTATTCTTTTCCATTACAGGTTATTACAAGATATTGAATATAGTTCCCTGTGCTATACAGTAAATCCTTGCTGCATATGTTTCATACACAGAGTGTGTATCGGTTAATCCCATACTCTGAATTCATCGCTCCCAGCCCCCCTTCACCTTTGCAGAATCACAACCACAGAGTCAGCCTCTGAGGTCAGGATCAGGAAAATATGGCACTCTTCAGGCACAGGCCAGTCCTCCAGCTCGTCCTGGTCACCGGGCAGGGCACAGTCCGGGTGTCAGCTACCCAGGAAGCCTTGGCAGACTCCCAGCTGGACTGGGGGCCCCGCTTCTGCCTTCTCCCAGCTCCCTCTTTTTGCACTGGCCACATAGTAGTTTTAAATGCATGTATTTTTTAAATGATTTATGATATGAAATTATAAATTGAGGGTTAATTTAATATCATTGGTTTCATTCTCTGCCTCCCCAACTTGCTGTAAGCTCCTAGACAGGCAGACTCTGTGTCCAATTCCACTTGGTCTCCCGGGTGCTCAGCTGAGGGCCTAGCAAAGAGTAAACTGCGCACTTGTTTGTATTCCTGCTGAATGAATAAATTGAATTTTAGAATCCTGGACTCTGAAAATCCATCGGAAAGCCCATCCAGGCCATGTTGCGCACATTCTGTCTAACGTGGAAATTCAGATGTAGCCCTAGAGGGAGGGATTACCGCGCGGCAATCTCAGGACCAGCCACGCCTTCCTTTCGGGATGAGAGGCTTGGCCTTTGCCCCTGCTAGGATTCCAGGGTTTTATGGGGGAGCTGGAAGATGCAGGCAGCTGAATCAAGCATTTGGCACTTAGAAGGGCAAGCAGTTTTGGTTCCTGGGTCAGCTCCACGGACAGGGGATACAGGTGGGGGAGGGCGGGCTGCAGACAGGCGCTGAGCGTCCTCACCAGGTCAGGGGCCCTGCACTAGGGACCAAGCAACAATAACATGTGACCTCGAGGACTGGAGGGTCCAGGCCACAGACTGGCCTTGGTAGATCGGGGGCGCCATGGCTGCAGCGGTAGCTGGTCTATTCTGAGCCTAGGGTGGCAGCTTTGGGGGCACAGGGACAGGGTGAGGGCATCTGTGAAGAAGCCTCAGTGCTTTTACACTGGGTGTGGCATCGGGCTTCCTGGGGCTCCATGGGCCGAGCCAGCATCATCTCTGGACAGAATAGGAAGAGGTAGCAGACACTGCTTCCTGGAGAGAGGACTTCCTTGGGGGAGACAATTTCTTTTTAAAAAATATTTATTTGGCTGCTCTGGGTCTTAGTTGAAGCATGCAGGACCTTTGATCTTCATTGCAGCATATGGGAGCTTTAGTTGTGGCATGTGGAATCTAGTTCCCCAACCATGGATCAAACCTGGGCCCCTGGGATTGAGAGTGTGGAGTTTTAACCACTGGACTGCCAGCGAAGTTCCGAGAGGATTTCTTTGTGAACATGTGAGCACCTAGATCTCCTCTGCATAAGGCTTGGGTTGGTTTCAAGGGCCGAGTCTTATATTTGAAGGCAGGGCCAGAGCCAGGGAAAGAATATGGAACGTTACTGGTGTGGCCCCGCTCTGCTCAGCTAGGATCGTGGGTCCATTGTCTGAGAAATAAGAGCCTGAGATGGGGTTTATGGGTTAAGAAATTTACCAGGCAGGTGCTCTGAGTAGGGAGTGAGGGAAGCAGGGCAGGGTGGAGAAGGAGCTAAGCAAAGATGGGGACCCGCTGCTTTGTGATCCCACGGAGCTCTGGAGCGCGAGTGGTACCACAGAGTTGGCTGCTCCATTATTTGGTTATGAGGCCAACTCTGGGGTGTGGGGCATCCCCTCCTGGTCCAGTGCAATTACCAGGACAAAGGGGGCTGCTGTGACCAGTGAATAGTCAACACTTGGGAGCCAGCCCATAAAGGGGTCTGGGTGGGGCACCAACAGTTTCCTCTATAGTAGGTATCATGGACTTCTTCGCCCTGAAATCAACCTTCTTGTACCTTCCACTATCCATGCATTCTGCTTCCACTCTCTAGGCCCATGGGACGCACCCACTTGGCCACCCTCTGATATGTGTGGGTAGGGTATTCAGACTCCGTCTGGGTACCTCCAAGCATCCTTGGAGCTGAGAGAGAGGCCAGCATCAGCACATGGACGTGGCCAAAGGAACCCTGAGATCCTGATGCAGCGATGTGGGCTGGTGGTGGGAAGAGCAGGTGGGAGCGTCCACTTCAGCAGCAATAACCCAATAGCCTAGCACTCTTGTTATTTGGGACTGTGCGCATGGATCCCAGTGATGCAGTAATGTTGCTTTCTCCAATGTATTAAGAGAAGCAAGAGTCGAATATTAAACTTTCTAAGTCATTTGTGTGTTACTGACAAGCTCCACACAGGAAATTGTAACCACATGAAATATTTATGCTTCACACTACGACGACGCTACTGACATGACAACACATTGTTTTTGTTTGTTTGGCTGGGTTTTCTTTTTCTCTTTTTCCAAAGTGGATTACAAGATGCCTTCCAGTGAGGAAACGGCTCAGAGAAATTGTGCCTTATCCCAGGAGTTGTTATCTGGGTGAAGCAGGGTTATGTGATTGGAGAATGAGGGGCCAAACCCATGGGTCACGGGCCTGGTTTGGGCTGCCAGCACCTACTCCTCATCTCAAAATAGCTGTGTCATGAGGCCCAAGAGCTACAGTTTCCCCATAGCTCCTCCACACCAGGCAATGGTGATTTTTCCAGAAACGGTTAAAATAGTCACATAATTATTACTTTATTTTGAGGTTATCACCCCTAACATCTGTTGGGAAAATCAGTTAAGAGTTCCCTGACCAGATGCTTGCTATACTCGGGTTTAGAGGAGTCCCTCTGCCCACTCTCGGCTCCTGCTGCCCTGAACGCACCTCTCACCTCCACCAGACCGGAAACTTCCAAAGGACAGAAGCTCCATCGGGGGCAAGGGAGTGGTCGGGAGGGGCTCACTGTGATCACCTGCCGATGGGAGCTCCCTTTGTGGCCAGCACACAAGGCCAGAGCCCCTTGAATCATCATGGGAACCTACCTGCTGGTACCATCATCACCTCACTTCTACAGATGGCAAGACTGAAGCCATCGAGGCACTGCTGCCCGTAGAGACCCTCGGGGATGGGGAAAGGGTAGGTGGGACTCTGCCCTCAACCTGACTGACACCAGGGGCTCTGTCCAGGTGAATCCCACCACCAAGGACCACTGCAGAGGGCCTGCCCTTGGCTTACCAAGTGTAAAGAGAGACAGGCTTGTTTCCAACTTTTCATCAGTTTTATTATAAAGAAATTCGAGAGAAGCACTGGGCACCAAGACAGACATTTGCAGGGTCAGAAAACAGCTGCAAACATTAAGAACCCAAACCCAAACCAGACCCCCAAAGCACACACACTTTATGATAGAAACTGCAATTTTGTTCTCGATTGTTCCTGGTAAACAGACAGAAGTCCTTGCTGGCTGTTTTAAATAGATGAATGCATGATTAAAAAAAAAAAAAAGCGCAATGTCTCTGAGTGTGGCTATAAATTGTCCAGTTCCTGCTGTACAGAGGGTGAAATGGTTTGGCAGCCTCTTTTGTGCACGTCTCCCTTAAGATAAAACTTAAAAAAAATGTGCTAAGGGTCATATAAAATGCTTTTTTTTTTTTTTTATCTTTAAGGAATCTACTTTCCGCCCCACCCCATCCCAACAAAATAATCTTACAGGTGTCTTCAGCACAGCTTCTAAAACACGTAGTCAACTAATACTTACATGGAGCCAACAGTTTATAAGTGTCATAATGTCTTGTTCACACTGTAAAACCGGATTTGCACGTCTGGCGCTGAGCCGACCCCGCCCGGCGCATCTGGGGGTGGCTTCCTGCGGCAGGGCCACCGGTCCAGGGGCAGCTCCGGCGACCGTGGGCTCTGGCGCCAGACGACCAGACGGAGGGGACGGCGGCAGGCGAGGCGCGGGGTCCACAGGAACCCTGGAGCAAGCGGTCAGGGGGCGGGAGGTTCCAGAAGGTTCTTTGGGCTGGCGGTGGGCGGCGGGCGGCCTCTGCAGAGTCTGCCGGGAGGTGAGGAAGAGCCTCAGCCCTGGGCCCGGGCGTCTCACTGCGCTCTGCGCCGGCGCCCTGCTTCCTGCGAGGCCTCTTTTCTGCTGTCAGCCCTTCAGGCTCTGAGCAGAGCCCTTCCAGCAAGCCTCAGGGAGGACAGGGAGACGGGCTTAGGTGAGGTAGAGCGATTTATCCCTGGGGAGCAGGCTGGGGAGAAAGGAGGGGCTGTCAGAGCTGTGACCCCCATCCCCGTCCAGGCGTCCCCTGGTCCTCACGGGGGTGGACACAGAGCCCGAGTGCATGGGGACAGCTGCTCACTGGCCTTTCATCTCCTCCCCGGACACGGCCCCTCGGAGGATGCGTGAGGGCGTCGCAAGGGGTGTGTGTGTGTGTGTGTGTGTGTGTGTGTGTGTGTGTGTGCGTGCGCGCGCGCAAGGGTGTGTGTGTGTGTGCGCAAGGGTGTGTGTGTGTGTGTGTGTGTGTGTGTGTGTGTGTGTGTGTCCGGCCCCTCGGAGGATGCATGAGGGCGTCGCAAGGGTGTGTGTGTGTGTGTGTGTGTGTGTCGGAGGATGCGTGAGGGCGTCGCAAGGGGTGTGTGTGTGTGTGTGTGGCGGTGGAGGGCTCTGTGTGTGTGTGGGGGGAGCGCAGTGGCGGAGAGGTGTGTGTGTGTGTGTGTGTGTGTGTGTGTGTGTGTGTGGCGGTGGAGGGCTCTGTGTGTGTGTGGGGGGAGCGCAGCGGCGGAGAGGTGTGTGTGTGTGTGTGTGGCGGTGTGTGGCGGTGGAGGGCTCTGTGTGTGGCGGGGGTGGGGGGAGCGCAGCGGCGGAGAGGTGTGTGTGTGCGCGCGCACGGAACCAAACAGCCTTCCTGGAATCCTGGTGGGAGACCACCCGGTCCTCAGCGCTGAGGAGGATACAAAAAGCTAGAACTGTTTAAAGTTGGGACCAAACCTCCCTGCTTCCAGTACAGGAGCTCTGGTTCAATCCCTGGTTGGGGAACATAGAATTCTGCATGCCACGCGTTGCGGCCAAAAAAATAATAAAAAATTATTTTGTTTTAAAAAATGGGACCAAATCTGTGCTGTGATTGGAGCCCAGAGCTCCCTGAGATCAGGCCAAAGCCAGAGAGAATAGCACTGAAACATCTATATCACCATATGGGAAACAGATGACCAGTGCAAGTTGGATGCATGAAGCAGGGCACCCAAATCTGGTGCTCTGGGACAACCCAGAGGAATGTGGGGGGGGAGGGAGGTGGAGGGGTTCAGGATTGGGGGGACACATGTGTATCTGTGGCCGATTGATCTTGATGGTAAAAACCATCACAATATTGTGAAGTAATTATTCTCCAATTAAAATAAATTATTAATTAAAAAATAAAAGCCAGTCTCTGGCTGAGGCCATGCCCTTGCTAGGCTCCTCTCTGCTCCGGCCGCTGCCCTACCCCCACTACTGGTACAGGTTCTCCCTGAACAAATATACATCATCAAGGGCACCCAAATTCCTGCTTCAGGCTCTGCTCCTAGGGAAGCTGACCAAAGACAGTCCCTCTTGTCTATGAATGTCACAAAGAAGCACTTGTGAAGAAAGAAAACAGGGTGGAGACATCCCTGGTGGTCCAGTGGTGAAGAATCGCCTGGCGGTTTGATCCCTGCTCCAGGAAGATTCCACGAGGCATGGGGCAACTAAGCTCCTGCGCCACAACTACTGAGCCCGAGCTCTAGAGCGGTGAGCCACAACAAAGACCCAGTGCAGCCAAAAGAAAGAAATCTGCCCGTGGAATCCTCCAGGCAGGAATAACCAGAGCGGGGTGGCCATGCCCTTCTTCAGGGGATTTCCCTGACCCAGGGTCGAATCTGGGTCTCCTGCACTGCAGGCAGATTCTTTACCAGCTGAGCCACCAGAGAAGACTAAATAAATAAATAAATCTTAAAAAAAAAAAGGAAAAGAAAAATAACAGGATGGAAGGAAAAACAGCAAGAGCGAAGGCGGGCCTGTGTCCCCCACAGGCCTGGCCCCAGACAGCCGAATCCCTATGGGTCCTTGCTTTGTTGCACTTCCTCTCCTGAAGACGCCGGGCACCCGGTGCCCACGAGGCCCTCCTGCAGGGTGACAGTGATCTGCAGCATCCCCCTTGCCCTTTCCACCGTCCCCCCATCCTCATGCTACTCGCACCAGCAGCGCCCACCATGGCCGGGGGGGGCCCACCTGCAGGTGCTGACGCCACACTCGGTGCTGGGGTAACTGCTGTCCCAGTCTCCGCTGCTCGTGGGGTTGGACGGGCCAGGGGAGCGGGATCCGGAACCGCTGGGGAACTCAGAGATGTGGGGGAAGTCCTGCTGAGGGGGAGGAGGAGGCGGTGAGCAAAGGACAGCCAAAGGGGAGCATCTCAGGCAGCAAGGAGGGGAGGGGGCTGTTTGCAGAGACACCTCCCCGGCTTATAAGAAATTTCTGCTCTGCCCCTCTGCCTGGACCACTTCTTTATTTTCCCTGGTAGAGCAGCTTCTGGAAAATCCAGTCCTAGTCTTAGCTGCAAGGGTAGGGTGCTGGTAGTAAAGGACTTTCCTTCCCTGGACCTCAGTTTCCCACTCTGTAAAATGGACTTACTGGGCCGAGTGACCTCCCAGGGTCAAGAAAGCTTTGTAATCCCCAGTGTCCATGGAGCACTTAGCAGGGGTCAGGCTTCAAAGTCTTTGGGGAGAGCCAGCAGCTAAGGCTCACTGGCCTCAGCCTCCCCGGCCAGAGAGCAGGAATGGACAGAAACTGAGGGAGGAGGGCCCAGGATGCCCTAGGAATCTGAAGAATCTTCCTGGCACCTTGCCAGCTATTCTCTGCAGCCAGTGCATCTCAGGTGAGGCGTACTCATCCCATTTCACAGATGTGATCACTGAAGCTCAGAGGGATGAAGTGCCAAGGCTGAGGTTTCACAGGCCGAGAGTGGCAGGGCCAGTATTTGCAATCCCAAGCTGCCTCCCCTTTCTGCAAGGGGGTCCCCCGGGGGTGCATTCTCACTGGGTCCTGCTTACCTGTGGCCCTGGAGGTGAAGGGCTCACGGCCAGCTGCACCTGGAGTGCCATGGGCGCGGGCAGGACGGGAGGCTGGGGGGCTGGGGACATGCTGACGGGTGGGCTGAGGAGGGCGCCCTGGGCGTGGGGTGGCAGCGGCAGCTGCTGGTGCAGGGGTGTGCTGAGAGGGAAGGAGGGCGGCGGCGGGGAGGCGCTGAGGCCAGGCAGCAGCGACTTGGAGCCCAGCGTCCGGGCGAGGCTGGCGGGGGAGGCCCCGCTGCGGAAGGCCTGCAGGTCGGACGGGGTCAGGAAGGAGGCCAGGCCCGGCATGGTGTACATGGGCTGCTTAGGGGGGAGCATCTTGGCCGGCGGGTTTGCCTGAGTGCTCTTGGTCTCACCCTGGTCAGGCGAGCTCTGGAAGGAAACAGACACCAATCTGGATAAGCTGGAACCAACGTGGATAAGCCTGAACTTGGGCCACGAAACCCACGTCGTTTTGTAACCCACCGGCTGGCTCTCGGGCCCCTCGGGGGAGAGCAGGGAACTCACCAAAGATCACTCAGGACCCACCACCCTTGGCTCTAACCATCCAACCACCCTGTATTTTAATCCCGGGAGGTTCCCGTGCCCATGGGCGAATCCATGCTTTTCAGCCTGGCCCGAGGCACGAGCATCGCCCAGCTGGGTTATCCTCTCTGTGGGCTTCTCCCAACCTCTGTGCCTTTGCATGGGGTGTTCCCTTGATTTGGGACACCCTCTTTGCTTGACCCTTTCTGGCCCAATTCAGAAACCATGTCCTCTGTGCAGCTGCCAGACCACCTCCCTCCCCGGCTTGGACCATGCAACCACCACCATGCTGAGCCTCCTGTAATACTGGTGTCGACAGAGAAGGCTGAGCGGAGGACGGGAGAAAAGGCCAGTTTTGAAGACAGGCAAAACTGGGTTTGAACCCTAGTAAAGCCATTTAACAGACTGGATACTTCCAGGCAGGTTGCTTAACTCCTCTGTGTACGGGGTTCTTGTTGGAAGAATCACGTGAAGTGAGATGCGTGCGAAGTACGCAGCATGAGCTGGCACACAGGAGGTGCCCTGGGGAAGGGGCCCCGTGCACGTGTGCTAAGTTGTTCAGTTGCTTCCGACTCTCTGCAACTCTATGGACTGTAGCCCTCCAGGCTCCTCTGCCCATGGGGGTTCTCCAGGCAAGAATACTGGAGTGGGTTGCCGTGCCCTCCTCCAGGGGATCTTCCCCACCCAGGGACTGAACCCAGGTCTCTTCTGTCTCCTGCATTGGCAGGTGGGTTCTTTACCACTAGTGCCACCTGGGAAGCCCGGAGAAGGGGCCACATTGGTCTTAGCCATCCCTTTCAAGACCTGTGGTGTTGACTGTTCCCATGGACTTCGGTTCTTGCTCTATCCCTCAAGGACTGGGCTTAGGGATCCCAGCTGTTACCTTGGAAACAAGGCTGGCCCTGTAGGCTGCCAGAGCCTTCAGATACTCCTTCTTCGCTGCTTCGGTCTTCCTCTTGTAGGCCTGAAAGATCCAAGATGTGGGCGATATTGGGGAGAGGTCAGGTGGTCAGCCTGAGCTCACAGGGCTGGTAACTGGCGCTGACCTCTGAGCTGGATCTGCTTCTGTCCCCGCTGCAGGCCCTTGAGGGGAAGCCATGGGCTTACGGCCAGTGGGTAGGAAAGCTGCGACCTGGACCCCAGACTTTCAGAGTTGGAGGCACACGACGGATGGAGATGCTTGTTCCCGCTTTACAGATGGGGCAGCAGAGGTCCAGTTTCCTCCCCCACTTAACCAAGTCGCTAGTGAACGCAGCTACAGAACAGCCAGCTGGGACCGGCCCTACTTCCCCAGTTTACAGATGGGCAAACTGAGCCCAGTAGAGTCCTCAGCACAGGCTGGGCAGAGGCTAGTTCCCCTAGTTCCAGAGGCTGGGCCTGGCTCCAGACCTTCTAAGTCTGACTACAGCGCCTTGGGGGATGGCCCGGAGAGGGAGGGGGCTCACCTGCTTCTGCTCCTCTCCCAAGCTGTCCCACATGGAGGCCACGATTTTGGACACATCCCCGAAGGTCGCGCTGGGGTTCTGTCCCTTGATGGCGGCCTGAGTGTCTCTGAAGAAGAGTGCGTAGGCTGACACGGGTTTCTGCGGCTCATTGGGGTCCTTCTTCTTCTTCTTCTTTGGGTTCTTGGCCTTTTTGCCAGGATCGGTTGAAGGTCTCTTTTCTCCCGACATCTGCCCGGGTGAGGGGAGTTAGAAAACCAGAGAAGCCCAGGACCTCCAGCTAACCGACCCAGCTTAGGCCGAGCTGGACCTTCCTTAGCTTTTCCCAGCTTTCCCAGCCCTGCTCACACATCAGCAATGCCCTGGCCACCCCCTGGGCTTGAATACACACACACACAAATCACACACAAGCGAGTGCACACAGATGCCCTGGATACGAGCCCTGGGTTTTTCATTCAGAATGATGGTCAAGTTCACTCAAAAAAACACAAGAGAAAGAAACAAATTACTGCCCTATAGAGCAATAAAACTATCACCTAGGGGCCTTTAGTCTTTTCTGCTGCACAGAAGTCATTTGTGTCTCTACAGGGAAAAATTAATTTGTCTTGTAATCAGACAAAAATTGCTTACCTCTTCATCATTTCCCCCCTGCCCCAAGTTAACATCTTCCTTTACAGAATGTAAAAGCTCCCATCAATAATGAGGGAGGAATCAAAAGGAAGGTGTAATCTCCCAGAGAATCATCAGATAATTCTTGAGCCTATTTGATGAGGCTGTAATATGCTACTGAAAGACTGTGCAGTTATCTGTTTTGGGACTATTTCCAAGTTTTGGATATATATGTATTTTCTTAACACCCCCTCCCCCCTTGTGATCACAAATAATCCCCAAAGATTACCCTTGATTCAATAAGACTGGTCTCTTCCACCACATTTCAGCTATGCAACTTGGGGCAGATGGCTTAGTCCCCCTGACCCTCTTTGAAGTTGTTGGATGGGAGTGAGGTTAATGTAACTGTCACCAGGGTGACCTCACCCTGGATACCTGGCCTCTGGTGCAGTCAGAATCCAGGACCTCAGTACTGTGGGCACCTGGCTTCCAGGATGGAGGGGGTGGGCACGTCCCCCCTGACTAGAACTCCCAGGCCACCCAAGGACCAGGGATTTTGACCAAAGGTCGTGGATCCTGCTATGAAGACTGTGGCTCTAATGCTCCAAGAAAATGAAGGTAATATAAACTGATAAGGGCCAGACTCAGGTCTGCGGGTCTGAGGGACAGTGAGGGGCAGTCTGTGGCCACATCAGTCCTGTTCTTGGGACTGTTTCTCCGCGGTCACCCACCTCTCCAAGCCTCAGTTCTGTCTGCCAAGCAGATGGGGCGTTGAGGGTGGTTTAGAGTACATACGCTGGAGCCAGACTACAACCACCTTGGTTTAAATACTGGTTCTGTGACACCTGATAAGTCACTTAACCCCTCTGTGCCTTAGTTTCCCCATGTGCCAATCAGAGATAATAAAGGCACCTATCACATAGGGTTGTGATAAAGATTATATGGATTAATACCTGTCATGTCCTTGGAATAGTATCTGTCCCATGAAAGTGTTTTAGGAGGGTTTGTTAAATAAAATTAAATAAAATTAAAAGCACCTCCTTCCTGGACTACAGTAGTGACCAAGTTACCCTGAGGATGAAGCTGGACCAGGATCCAGAGGCGCCCACCCCAGCCAGGAGGGCAGGGTCAGGGTCTCTGATGGATACCACGATTACTGCCCCAGGCCTCTTCAGGGACACCATGTGGAAAGAGGTGAGAGGCCCTTATGAAAAAGAAAGGCAGGCAGGCGGGCATTGTGGGAGCAAGTCTTGATTTTACCAGGGGCTCACTGGGAGATTCCGGGCAAGCACAAGCATCTTTGGCCTTTCCAGGTTTCTGTTTTCTGCTCCAGTAAAACAAAAAGCTCTTTGACTGGGAGGGAGGCTTGGGGTCAGTGCAAAGAAAGGACAGGAGCTGGACAGGCAGTGAGCTCTCATTCCCTGGCATGTTCTTGAAGACGCAGGACAACCCCTGGTTCCAGGGATATGCGGGGGTCATGTCCCCACTGGGGGGTTGTTTTTAGTGCTCCCTCCCACAGTGACGCCCAGAGGTGCCCTCTTCTGGATCACACATCTCTGTGGTCCTCCTGAAAGGTCAGAATGGCCACAAGATGTGGCCCCGAGGATCTTGCCAATGCCATCAATGCCACCGAAATGACCCACTGGCCATTGAGGAATAAGACATCATCACGTTTTTCCAGAATTTTCCTTGTTTTCCAACAAAGGGGACAGTTTCACTCTTGTAGTCTTTTCTAGAGGTAGGTGATGCCCATTTCCTCACAGGGCCTGTCCCCTGCTGATGGGAAGGCATTCTAAGGCATCTGAAGCCTTTGCATCTCCATCCCCACGTACCTTGAAATGCGCCTCTGACTCCTCCTCCTGAGTTGAACTGGAGGGAGAGGGGGTCGCTGACTTGCTCCCTGGGGGTGACGGGGAGCTGTGGGCGATGCCGCTCCGGATGCCCATCTGAGAAATGAGCTGGGACTGGCTGAGGGCACTCATGTGGCTGGCCAGCATCGCTGGGCGGCCCAGCAGGGGCCCTGGTCGGCCTGAGTCATAGGCAGCAACCTCCGAGTGGACCATCTCCTGGATCTAAGAGAGAAGGAGATCGCGTGCTGAGTCAGAAAGGCCAGCACATCTGCATTGTCAGACTCAGAGGCGTCTGAGCTGTGGCTCAGCTGTCCGCTCTGAGCTGTGACTGCCTCAGGGACCCCTGCACGATTCGGTGTACTCCCAGGGGGCGCCGTTCTGCTGACAGTCACCCTGGACAGACCGTCAGCATCTCAGCCCCTCAGCCCTTGTGAGAAAGCCCGGGTCAGTTGTGAATAAGTCATTTGATGATATTGGGTCTTCCCCCCTGAAACACGGTATATCTTTGCATTTATTCCCTGTGCAGCATAACAGCAAAGAAAAGAGATGCTGGGAGCCGCCTGCACTTTGAAATCTGGTTCCGCTTGTACGCTGGGTGACTTTACTTAAGTTACTTAACCTCTCTGTGCCTCAGTCTCCTCATCTGAAAAATGTGGATAATGATTAAACCTACCTTCTAGGGCTGTTAAGGATTAAATATGCCTGGCACACGGTAAGCCCTATATTGTATAAGGGTTTGTTAAATACAAAGAATAAATAAACCACTAAAGAAAGTTTGCACTTTCCCCTCACCACCATAGGTCAGTAGTTTTCTCACTATCTATTCCCCAGGATATTTTCTAACTGGTTATTTTTGGAATATAAAGAAAACTACTGAGTTTTATATACAGGCACTTCTCGTACTAATCATATTTAGAACAATGTGTATTTTTCACCTAAAAATTATACATGTATATAGATACATACACACTGTTCAGGGAAGCATACCAATTTGCATATCCTTATAATTATTTTTATATCCTTTAAATTTGGGGTCAAATTATAATTTCTAATATCTAGTATCTGTGTTTTCCTTTTCCTTTTTATTAGATAAGTTCATCATTTTTCTATTTTATTTTGTGGGATTTCTTTTTTCCTCCTTAAAAGAATCAAATCTCAAATGTGTTTATCAGGTCTACTCTTTCTCTGCTTTCTAATTCTTTATTTTATCTTTATTCGCCTCTTTATAGCATCTTTATCTAATTCTTCTACATTTATTAATCTCTTCTTCTACTTTTGCAGATTGGTTGGCTTCCCCCTCAATTCTGAGTAACATTGTCAATTCATTATTTTCATTCTCAATGTTTAGAAATACTTTTCATGCTATGAATTTCCCTCTGAACATGACCTTAGCTTTTCCCAGACTTCATCTCATGAGATTTTCGTTATTGTTCTTTTTGATATACTTATTCCTAAATTTCATTTTTAATTTCTTCTCTCATGGAATCGATGTTTAAGAAGACTTGAAATTTCTGAGGTTAAAATTTTTTGTTGTTTCTTTCCTTTTTGCTAGTCATTTCTCATAACAAAAGTGATAAAAGAATCTGTACTATTTGTACTTCTCAGAATTTATTCAGGTTTCCTTGGGGACCCAAACATGCTTATTTTTTAACATTCTTTTTTTATTGTAGTAAAACATGCATAACATGAAACTTACATTTTAACTATTTTTAAGTCTACAGTTCAATAGCATCAAGTCCATTCACACAACTGTCACCACCATCCATCCACAGAACTCTTCATCTGGCAAAACTAAAGCTCGGTACCCCTTCAATACCCCTCCCCATTCCTGCTCATTCTGCCCCTGGTAACCACCATTCTACTTTCTGTCTCTATGAGCTTGACTATTCTAGGTACTTCACTTAAGTAGAATCATACAGTATTTGTCCTTTTGTGTCTGGCTTATTTCACTTAGAGGCTTTCCAGGTGGCTCAGTGGTAAAGAATCTGCCTGCCAAGCAGGAGACATGGGTTCAATCCCTGGGTTGGGAAGATTTCCTGGAGAAGGAAATAGCAATCCACTTCAGTATTCTTGCCTGGGAAATCCCATAGAGGAGCCTAGGGAGCTACAATCTATGGGGTCGCAAAGAGTCGGACACAACTTACCAACTAAACAACAGTATTCCACTTGGCATACTGTTCTCAAGGTTCATTCATGTTGTCCCATGTGTCAAAATTTCCTCCCTTTTAAAGACTGAATACTAATCCCCTTGTATGAATATACTGGACTTCCCAGGTGGCTCAGTGGGTAAAAAAATCCATCTGCAAGGCAGGAGGCACAGGAGACGCAGGTTCAATTCCTGGGTTGGGAAGATCCCCTCAAGGGGGCATGGCAACCCACTCCAGTATTCTTGCCTGGAGAATCCCATGGACAGAGGAGACTTGTGGACTACAGTCCATAGGGAGGCAAAGAGTGGGACATGACTGAAGTGACTGAGTACACACACATGCATGAGTATATTACATTTTGTTTATCCGTTCATTCATCATCCGTTTGGGTTGTTTCTACTTTTTAGTTATTGTAAATGATGCTGCTATGGACACTGATACACATACCTGTTTGAGTCCCTGCTTTCTTTTTTAAAATTTCTATTGGAGTATAGTTGCTTTATAGTGTTGTGTTAATTTCTGCTGTGGAGCAAACCGAGATCAGTTATACGTACACGTGTATACAGATACCCACTCTCTTTAAGATTCCCTTCCCGAGGTCACCACAGGGACTGAGAGTAGGGTTCCCTGGGCTACACAGCAGGTCCTCACGAGCCAGCTACTTCATACAGAGTAGTGAAGTGATATGTCAATCCCAATCTCCAAATTCTTCCCACCCCCCAAATATGTTTAAATTTTGTGTACATTTCACAGTATTTGAAGATGTGTTTGCAGATTAATATAGTGTAACCTTTCTCCGTCCTGTCAGTGGTGATTATTTTGATTCCTTTGGTTTGTTTAAAGTGAAGGTGAAAGTCGCTCAGTCGTGTCTGACTCTTTGCAACCCCATGGATTATACAGTCCATGGAATTCTCCAGGCCAGAGTACTGGAGTGGGTAGCCTTTCCCTTCTCCAGGGGATCTTCCCAACCCAGGGACTGAACCCAGGTCTCCCGCATTGCAGGCAGATTCTTTACCAGTTGAGACACAAGGGAAGCCCAAGAATACTGGAATGGGTAGCCTATCCCTTCTCCAGCGGATCTTCCCGACCCAGCAATCAAACCAGGGTCTCCTGTGTTGCAGGTGGATTCTTTCCAACTGCGCTATCAGGGAAGCCCCTTGGTTTGTCTAAGTTGCCAGTGACATTTCTGCTTCCATCAAAATCTTGCTTTGAAGCGTTTGTTTGGGAATTTGATATTGGTTTTTACGTTTTACAATGTTGTTCAGCCACAGAAAAGGAAACCCTGCCTTCTGTGGCAGTGTGGACAGTCCGTGAGGGCACTACGCTGAGTGAGATGCGCGAGACAGAGACAGACAAATCCTGTGTGTTCTCACTCATACGTGGCTGGTGCAGTTGGTAAAGACCCTGCCTGCCAATGCAGATAGACACAAGAGATGTGGGTTCACGCTCAGGGTCGGGAAGATCTCCTAGAGTAGGAAATGGCAACCCACTCCAGTATTCTGGCCTGGAGAATTCCATGGACAGAGGAGCCTGGTGTGTTACAATCCATGGGGTCACAAAGAGTCAAACACCACTGAGAGACTAAGTGTTGCACACACACACACACAAATAGTGAAATGGTGGTTGCCAGGGGGTTGGGGGAAATGGGTGAAGGTTTTCAAAGGTTACAGTTTTCTAGCTATATAATGAATAAATTCTGGGGACCTCATGTACAGTATGGTGATTATAATTAACAATACTTTATTATATAGTTAAAAGCTATTAAAAGATTAGATCCTAAAAGCTATCACCACACACACACACATACACTTATTGTAATTATTTCACATTCCCTGGTGGCTCAGTTGGTAAAGAATCCGCCTGCAATGTGAAAGCCCTGGGTTCGACCCCTGGGTTGGGAAGATCCCCTGGAGAAGGGAAAAGCTACCCACTCCAGTATTCTGGCCTGGAGAATTCCATTTGCTGTATAGTCCATGGGGTCGCAAAGAGTTGGACATGACTAAGTGACTTTCACTTCACTTCACTTCATATACATGCATCAAATCATCTTGCTGTATCCCTTAAACTTAAATAAGCTAAATCTCAATAATATCTCAATAAAGCTGGAAACAATTTTAAACACTTTTTAAAAAGAGTAGGCTTTAAAATTTATTCTCTAAGCATCCCTTTTCCATTCCAACATGTACACACTTTTCTTTCCATGAATTTTAAACGACGGCCTGATATTATTTCTTCAAGAGCAAATTAGCCTTGGGGCTCTGTGTTTAGCGCCTGTTGTTTCTTTCTTTTTTTTTTCCTTCCTGGCTGCCTGCTTTAGAATTCTTCAACTAGATATTCCTAACTCAGGAATTTAATATATGACCAACACTTGATAATGGCAGACTCTGAATTTTTGCAAATTTTCTAAGTCTGATATGCTCCCAAAATTGTTCTAATTTGCACTGCCCTGTTTACTAGAGAAGTCAAACATCTTTTCATTAATTTCCTGGACATCTGAATTTCTGTTTATACTACTGGTGGGGGTGTAAACTAGTAAGATACACACTTTAGGAAGCAATCTGATGATACATATCCTATAATCTAGCAAATCTACGCCAAGATATTTACTACAAAGAATTTTCCCACATACACAAAAACACATATATACTGCAGGAAATTTTAAAGACTTTGAAATGGGCAAATGAATGCCTTTTCAATGGCATCCTAGGTGTCGGCTTAGGGTCATCTGTTTCTACAGGAATGTATACTTTTGTCTTTGACTAAGCTATGGGCTTCCCAGGTTGAGCTAGTGGTAAAGAACCTGACTGCCAATGCAGGAGGCATGAGAGAGGTGGGTTTGATCCCTGGGTGGGGAAGATCCCCTGGAGGAGGGCATGGCAACCCATTCCAGTATTCTTGCCTGGAGAATCTCACAGACAAAGGAGCCTGGCAGGCCACAGTCCATAGAGTTGCAGAGTCAGACACGGCTCAGTGACAGCATGCACACGGGTTATTTGCTGTTTCACAGATTTAGTTGTGACACACAGGATCTTTAGTTCATATAAACTTCATGGTGGCATGTGGGATCTAGTTCCC